CCTGTGGTGCTGACTGAATATATAAAATATTGACAGGGTGGTTGAAAAAAAGTTGAATGATAGGTGACTTGTATGTTACACGTATGTTTCCATCAGATCCAAAAGATGAACTGGACAAAATATTTTGCCTTCTAGAAGCATTGTTTGTGTCTAGCATCAGTATTACTGCTGCTCTCACTTTTACTGCTGATGCTACCTTTTTCCCATCACCACAACATAGGAACCCTATTCCTTCACTTTCTTGCTTAAATGGTTTTGACTTAAATGGTTTTTTCCAAAAGTTACAAAATGGCAAACCTCCCAAAAATTATTAGGAATAATTATGACCCTTTAGAAGGAAATATACCGTTCCTTTCCCTGCTTAAATAACGTTTTCTATCCCTTCTTTTCACCTTTGAGTGTTACAGCATGTGATTTTATGATTTGTGTGGAAAGGTTCTTCACATTGGCTGGCAAAATCAATCTTAATTAAAACCAAACCTCAGATAGGGCTAGGTTTTCTGATCTTTTACAAATACTATAAAGTGGCATAAGCAAAAATAAACGGCACCACATCATTAAATCCATTTTAGTTAAACTTTGCCAAAGGCAAAATTGGAAATTCTGCAGCAAAATCAATTTAGCCAGAATCACTGCTTATCCTTTGTCATTTTTACTGTTGATTATACTTTTAAAATATGCTGTGATATTGTGCAACTGTGTAAAAGTTACTAAAGCTAATACTTTTTTTTTTAGAAAAAGCATGTCTTATTTTGCTTTAGCCTTTATTTTAGTATAAACAGAAGATTTAGTATCATTTCATCAAACCTCTTTAGTGGAACATTTTAACATGCTGATGAAAATTATTCATCAAAATAGTCTTGATAATTACTTACTAATGTACTAGACCATAAGGCCAGTCTGTGTAGGTTACCTTCATACATGCAATTTAATTCCTCATTAACCTTCACGTTATTGCTTCTACTTCATCAAGTTCAACAAAATATTAATTGAGTAAATTATTTTATATACTGATATGATAGAAATGTGCTTCTCAATTTTTCTGTGCATTTTGTGCACAGGAAAACAACAGACAACATTTCTGTTGGAATATTCTTTTAAGTACATAAAAAATGAAACAAACCTAGTAATGCTCATGTACAGTTGTGACCAAAATTATTCAACCCCCACTGAAATTGAGTGTTTTGGCCAGTTTGACATTGCTTTTGATCATTCAGTCATCTTGCTTACATTTACATTAAAGAGGCACTTGTAGGTCAGACAAATATAACATAACAGTTATAATGAAAATAACCACAAATGTCTTTTCTGTGCTCACAGCATTATCAGTTTTATTCAACCCCCAAGTGACATTCAATCTTAGTACTTAGTACAGCATCCTTTTACAGTTATAACAGCTTTTAAACGTGAAGCATAGCTTGACACAAGTGTCTTGCAGCGATCTACGGGTATCTTCGCCCATTCTTCATGGGCAAAGGCCTCCAGTTCAGTCACATTCTTAGGCTTGCGCACTGCAACTGCTTTCTTTAAGTCCCACCAGAGGTTCTCAATCGGATTTAAGTCTGGTGACTGCGATGGCCACTCCAAAATGTTCCAGCCTTTCCTCTGCAACCATGCTCTAGTGGACTTGGAGGTATGCTTGGGATCATTGTCCTGTTGAAAGGTCCAACGTCTCCCAAGCCTCAGGTGTGTGACGGACTGCATCACGTTTCCATCCAATATCTCCTGGTACTGAAAGAAATTCATGGTACCTTGCACACGCTGAAGCTTCCCTGTACCTGCAGAAGCAAAACAGCCCCAAAGCATGATTGACCCTCCACCATGCTTCACAGTAGGCAAGGTGTTCTTTTCATCATAGGCCTTGTTCTTCCTCCTCCAAACATAGCGTTGATCCATGGGCCCAAACAGTTCTAATTTTGTTTTCATCAGTCCACAGAACACTATCCCACAACTTTTGTGGTTTGTCCACATGGCTTTTGGCATACTGCAGTCGACTCTTCTTATTCTTTGGAGACAGCAAGGGGGGTACGCCTGGGAGTTCTGGCACGGAGGCCTTCATTACGCAGTGTGCGTCTTATTGTCTGGGCTGAAACTTCTGTACCCACATCTGACAAATCTTTTCTCAGTTCCTCAGCAGTCACACGGGGACTTCTCTCCACTCTACGCTTCAGGTAGCGCACAGCAGTCGAAGTCAGCATCTTCTTTCTGCCACGACCAGGTAGCGTTTCAACAGTGCCCTTTGCCTTGAATTTGCGAATGATGCTTCCTAAGGTGTCTCTTGGTATGTTTAACATCTTTGCAATCTTCTTATAGCCATTGCCCTTCCTGTGAAGAGAAATCACCTCTTCTCTCTTGTCTTCCTGGACCATTCTCTTGCCTTCACCATGTTTGTAACCACACCAGTAAATGTCTAGAAGGAGCTGAGTATCACAGTCATTTTAAAGCTGCCTAATTGGTGCTTATTATGCTTGATTGCTGCTCGGTGACATCCACAGGTGTTTTCAATACCTGATGGAAAGCACCTGTATGAACCTCTGTTCTTCAGAGTGGTAGTCTTTAAGGGGTTGAATAATTGTGGTGGCAATGAAGAAACCACATAAGAACCATTTACTACTGTATTACATAAACAATTGATGTCATTTTAGTTGCATTTGGGTAGTTACAACGTCCTTGTAGGATTTGATTCTGAATACAATTCCAAATGTACACTATAGTCCCTAAACCCCTTTACAGCATTGGGGGTTGAATAATTTTGGTCACAACTGTATATTACATCAAGGCAGTTTTTGAACAAAAGTACGAATAGCAACTTCCCCCTAGGATTCACATTTTTCTAATTGGATATAGTTGGGGGAATGTTTGAATCCTGAGTGAAAGTTGTATAAATCTTATGTAAAAAAAATATAAATTTCATTATAGCCAGATTTAAGTATTGAATTGCTTATGTCTTATCTACAGGACAATGATTCTATTTCATATGTATGTAATGCCTTCCAGGTTAGCCAAAGAGGTTGTTTGTTTTTTTAATTTTTTAGGCAGATTCTGAGTAGCAGCCTTGGATCAGGCCTGGGCTTTAGGAACCCTCCCGCCTCTCCAGAAACCTGAGAGATTTCTAGAGGAGGGGAGTAGGAGGGGAAGAGGCCAAGATCTGCATGTTTGAGGGGTATATAAATAGTGGATATTGGAGATAAAGTTCCTGTGGCTCCCATAAGAAAAGCTGGAAAACTGTAATTCCATATATACTGTAGATTGATGTATACCTCAAGAACTAGTAATGGGCTTAAAGTGACACTAAACAATCTCCTTATTCTTCAAAAAATAATCGATTAACATCCAGAACTTAAACTCTTTAATCTATTTTTCATTAAATTCTTTCCTACGATGTTTTGTAAGAAATGAGCAGCGCACATTAGTTACAATCGTGCACTACTCTATGCAAACTAAATATCCATTAGTCCATACTCTATTGTCCCTACACAATCTCAAAAGTGATCAACAGATGGTGGCTACATTCCTATTTATAGTGGGACCATAGAGCACAAAAGTAACCACCCTCTAATTGGAAGTTAGGTCAGTGCTGCAGAAAAGGAGAAGGAGAAGCTGAGAGCAACAGAGGGTACTTTTAGGTTAAGAATACAAATTTGAATAGAATATATGTTTTTTAACTAGCTGCTACCCGGCCTAGAGCCAGATGGCGGCCAGGCAAACAGCTCGTCCCTCTGGGTGGACGCCATTTGGTGTCCTTTCAGGCATGCGCAGTGCGCCTGTCCGCAGGGCCACTCTGTGGCGCGATCTGTCACCGGCCGTGTACCTCGGACACGGCCGATGACAGATCTGTGTACCGACCCCATTGCCAGTACCATGTGATCTGCTGTGACTAATCACAGCAGGTCACATAACAGTTGTATACAATGGATGGCTTCCTTTCATGCCATCCATTGTATACTAGTGTATCTAGCTGGGAATGGTCACAGCGATCACATGCACAAGCTGAGCCAATCATAGCCCATCTGTGTCATGTGATTAGCCGTGGCCAAATCACAGATAAGCACAAAAAAAATCCCTGAATGAATCAATGTCATTCAGGTAAATGCTTGCTTATAGCAAAGTAATTCTTTGCTATAAGCAAATTGTGTAAAAAAAAAAAAAATAAAAAATACTGATCACTTCCCCAAAGTAGTACAATGTTACTATGGTAACATTGTACTACTTTGGTCATAGTGAAATATGAAAAAAAAACTTAAAAAAAAAGTAATAAAACCTTAAAACTAATGAAAAAAAAAAATAAAAAAAAATTATAATTGTTTTTTTCGTACTGTCACCAGGCAGTGTCCCTGATCACTGCCATGCCAGTTATATGATGATGCTGTATTGCACTGGTGACAGTATGTAAAAAAAAATAGTGAAAATAATTTTTTTGATTTTTTTTAATTTTGCGAAAAATTATGACAAAAAAATTACAACTTCAAAAAACTCGTTATGTCTCTTATGAAATAAGTCGGACTGTTTACTTTGCAAAAAGTGGTCATTTGGGGGATATCTGTACTGTTCTGACATTCTTGGACCTCAAGAAATTAGATTGGCTGTCAGTACTTCAGGATTGATCAATATTCAGATCTATACCATAGTTTGTGAACTCTATAACTTTCCTACAGACTAAATAATAAATACTAATTTGGGTTATTTTCACCAAAGACATGTAGCAGAATACATCTTGGCCTAAATGTATGAAGAACAATTATTTATTTGCAAACTTTTATAACAGAAACAAAGAAAAATGTGTTTTTTTTAAAATAAATTTGGTCTTTTTTGTTAATTTAGCAAAAAATAAAAACCCAAGTGGTGATTAAATACCACCAAAAGAAAGCTCTAGTTGTGTGAAGAAAATTATAAAATTTTAGTTTGGGTACAATGTTGTATGACCATGCAATTGTCATTCAAAGTGTGTAAGCGCTGAAACCTGAAAAATGGAATAGGCAGGAAGCAGTTAAACCAGAGTTTAGTGTCAAGCAGGGGCGGACTGACCATTCGAAAACTCGGGCACTGCCCGAGGGCACAGGGTCAGTAGGGGACCCCATGAAATGCCCCTGGTACCTTTTTATCGGCTTTTTTGGGTGTGCTTTGAGTGTGGGCAAGGACACAGGGGCCCCATGTTCCCCTATTGCCTGGGGGCCCCATGAGTTGTCAGTCCGCCCCTGGTGTCAAGTTAATGGAAAAAGGTCAACAGTTTACTGTAGCAGCACATGTGGCATGAAAGCTGTTTTTACAAGCAAGCCAAGCAAGTAACTCTCAAAGTATCATCAAACGTTGAATACAAGGCTATAGGTATGTATAGGTTATGTATGTATGTATAGGTTATGTATGTATGTATGTATAGGTTATGTATGTATGTATGTATGTATGTATAGGTTAGAAGGCAATAGGAAAGTGAGCAGGAGCTGATATTAGTCCATGTCAAATCACACAGTGGTATGCAGTGTTAGATATTTCCATATATATGGCATGAAGAGAATCTTTACAGATAAATCAACACTAGTTTTAATATCAGAAATTCTCAATTTACTGTCAGAGCATATGTGGCATGGAAGCTGTTTTAGCAGAAAAAAAACAAGTATCTTAATCTCAAAGTGTCATAAAATGTTGACTACAGAGCTGTAGTATAGGTTAACAGGCTATAGAAAGGTAAAGGTCAAGCTGAGATGAATGTTTTCCTATATCAGTAACACTTAGCCTTATATAGTTTTAGATATTTCTGTATGTATTACATAAAGAAAGTATTTGCAAGAACATACACAGTAATAGTCAAAGACACCAGTAGCTTTACTGATAAATCTGTAACCTGGATTTACCATCTTTTACCCAAGTTAGAAAATGATATATTTTAGTTTATGCCCATAGCAAAGCCTGGTTGTAGGGTTGTAGGGTTACATACAGTAATTACATATCCAACTGCCTATTTGGACAAGGGGCTAGAGAGCAGGCTGCAAATCAGTGCATCAAAAACAAGCTATATCCATAAGGGAGTTCTCCAAGGTTGTGACAAATATGGTGAAGATTTGTAGTGTTGAAAGCAAAACAAAATTTCACAAAGCCAGTATATAGTGTCTTTCAGCAATTGAGAAGGATAATCCTTCATAATCTGCTTGTGGCAGAAGAATTTCCTCATTCCATTAAAGAAAAAAAAAATAAACAAATAAAAAAAAAAAAAATGTTATTAAGAGATGCACATTTTAATGTTGCTCACTATTAGGAATGAGCTTGAGAAAAAAAATTCAACCTGAATCCAGCCTGCTCGGTTTGATGAATGGCTGAGCAACATTTATAAAGAAACATCAGCTGGAAGTCTATCACTGTGGTAGGACTAATACCACAAAATGAAATATTCCCCTGGCTTTTATTGTAAACAACTGGCTGGTCATGTCCATATTGGTCAATAACATCACAAAGCATCCCCAGCTGGTTTATTGACATACACTAGCCAGCCGGGATTCATAATTTTCAGTGGGAGTAGAAATGTGTGAACATTATAGGGCACAGAGGGTTGTCATGTTGGTTAGTGGTCGTGCTGGTGGGTCAACTTTGTCCATCATCATTATTTACATGGATCTACTGTACAATGCTGGATGATATTATTGATATTTGACTTACATTGTGGCATTGTTTATTTTTTTCTATTAACCACTTCAAGTCCGGACACTTTCGCCCTCTTCCAGTCCAGGTCAATTTTCAGCTTTCAGCACTATCACACTTTGAGTGACAAATACTCAGTCATGCAACACTATACCCATATGAAATTTCTTTACTTTTTTTGAGACAGACAGAGATTTATTTTGGTGGTATTTGATTACCACTTGTTTTTTGTTATTTTTTTTGCTATACAAACAAAGAAATACCGAAAATTTAGAAAAAAATCATGTTTTGCCCAGTTTTTGTTATGAAATTTTGTAAATAAGTAATTTTGTTTCAGAAATTTAGGCCAAAATGTATTCTGCTACATTTTTGGGGGTTCATATCCAAAACAATGTAAATGTTGTAGTCTCAGTGAAAGTTATAAAGACTACAAACTATGGAATATATATTTGAAAATTAATCAATTGAGACCCTAAAATTCCGGACGCTGGTATGATGTATGGTAGTGATCAGGACATTAGCATGAGTATGGAGGTGATCAGAACACTGGTATGGTGGTATCAGGATGCTGATATGAGGTATGGAGTGATCAGGGTGCTGGTGGGGTATGGTGGTGATTAGGATGCTGGTATGGTGGTATGGAGTGATAGGGTGCTGGTATGGTATACGGTGGTGATCAAGGTGCTGGTATGGTGTATGGTGGTGATCAGAGTGCTGGTATGGCATATGGTGGTGATCAGGTGTGGCTATGGAGTATGGTGGAGATCAGAGTGCTGGTATGGCATATGGTGGTGATCAGGGTGTTGGTATGGGGTATGTAGGTGATCAGGGCATTGGTTTTTGCCCTCACTGGGACAGGTGAAAGGGGCTGGCTGCATTATTTTATATGAAAATAATGGGGCACTGATCAGAGACACTGGGGCACTAAACTGAGACACTGGAAAGGGGGGATGGCACAGCAGTCTGTAAGTGTACAAACAGCCTGACTGGTTGCTGTACACTCACAGGCTGCAGGATTACTTCTGTCTGTTCTCACACTTAAAGAGAGAAGTGATCTTTAGTTTTACTTTCCAGTGTTTACAATGTGAGTACTGCGATTGGTCAAAGCTGTCACATGGTAAAACATCATGCGATCACCCAGATACAGCAGTAATGTGATCCGCTGTGTTCAGGTGACACACCGATTGCTGGGCTCTCGGGTGAGTGTTCTGTGATCCGCACAGGAGCGGCTGATGCAGGCTGAGGTATAGGTACATTGACCTGCATCAGAAAAGATTCCTGTCCGCTGTCTATATGCAATGAGCGGACAGGAAGAAGTTAAAGTTTGGTTTGCACAGGGTGTGTATTTTTATTTGCCCTTACTTTTTTATGTGAATGATTAAGAGGGGCTGCTGTGTACCCCATATTAACCACTTCCACACAGGGCACTTTTACCCCCTTCCTGCCCAGACCATTTTTCAGGTTACTGCACTCTCACACTTTGAATGACAATTGCACGGTCATACAACACTGTACCCAAACTAAAATGTTATTATTTTCTTCACACAACTAGAGCTTTCTTTTGGTGGTATTTAATGACCACTGGGGTTTTTATTTTTTTCTAAATTAGCAAAAAAAGACCAAAAATTTTGAAAAAAAAAAAAAAAAAATTTTGAGTTTTTCTATTTTTCGGTGATATAAAGTTTGCAAATAAATAATTCTTTTTCATAAATTTAGGCCAAGATGTATTCTACTATATTTCTTTGGTGAAAATAACCCAAATTAGTATTTATTATTTAGTCTGTAGGAATGTTATGAGTTCACAAACTATGGGATAGATCTGAAAATTGATCAATCCTGAAGTACTGACAGCCAATCTAATTTCTTGAGGTCCAAGAATGTCAGAACAGTACAGATATCACCCAAATGACCACGTTTTGCAAAGTAGACAGTCCAACTTATTTCATAAGAGGCATGGCGAGTTTTTTGAAGTTGTAGTTTTTTTGGCATAATTTTTCGGAAAGCTAAAAAATTAAAAAAAAACTTTTTTCACTATTTGTTTTGTCATCATATAACTGGCATGGTGGGGATCAGGGACATTGCATGGTGACAGTACGAAAAAAAAAATATTTGATAATTTTTTTAATTATTTGTATTAGTTTAAATGTTTTATTACATTTTTTTCTCTTTTTTTTAAGATTTGTTTTTCATATTTCACTATGACCAAAGTATTATAATGTTACCATAGTAACATTGTACTACTTTGGGGAAGTGATCTGTATTCATTTTTTTTTTTTAACACAATTTGCTTATAGCAAAGAATTACTTTGCTATAAGCAATCAGTTACCTGAATAGCATCGATTCATTCAGGGTTTTTGTTTTGTGCTTATCTGTGATTTGGCCATGGTTAATCACATGACACTTGTATGTGACCACACTTGTATACAATGGATGGCATGAAAGGAAGCCATCCATTGTATACAACTGTCATCGGCCGTGTCCGAGGTACAGGGCTGGTGACAGATCGCGCCGCAGAGCAGCCCTGCGGGCAGGCACACTACGCTTGCCTGAAAGGATGCCATATGCTGTCCAACCAGAGGAACGAGCTGTTCGCCCGGCCGCCATCTGGCTATAGGCTTCAGTACCACGCACTTCACCCCCCTTACTGCCAGAGCCAATTTTCAGCTTTCCATGCTGTCACACTTTGAATGACTATTGCGCGGTCATGCAGCACTGTACCCATATTGCATTGTTATAACAATTGCATTGTTCTAAATAAAGAAATACTGAAAAATTGGGGAAAAAATTTTTTTTCTTCTATCAAAAATTGATCAGTCCTGATGTACTGACATTTCTTGAGGCCAGAAAAATGCCAGGGCAGTAAAAACATCCCCCAAATGACCCCTTTTTGGAAAGAAGACAGTCCAATGTATTTAGTAAAAGGCATAACAAGTTTTTTGAAGTTGTAATTTTTTGTCACAATGTTTTGAAAAAAGAAGAAATTAAAAACAAGATGTTTTTTTTTTTTCACTTTCTTTTTTATATACTGTCACCAGTGCAGTACAGCACCATCATATATCTGGTGTAGCGTGATCAGGGACACTGACTGGTGACAGTAATATTTTTTAATTATTATTTTTTGTACATATTTTTTTTTTCTTTTTATTAAATATGTTTCTTTTTTATGATTTGTGACCAGAGCAATATAATGGTACCATAGTAATGTTGTACTACTCTTGGAAAGTGATCAGGACTTTTGATACACATTATAATTGCTTATACAAGTGAATTTAACTGTTATCAGCAACCAGTTTTACTGAATGAAATTGAATAATTCAGTGTTTTTTATTGTGGTTAGCTGTGATTGGCCTCAGCTAATCACATGGTACAGATGGGCTGTGATTGGTTCATTGTGCATGAATGAAATGATTGTGCACGAATGAAAGCCAT